TTCCACATAAATTAAGCATGTTATTATAGATCCAGGGGATGATACTACTGAAATATATTTTATTAAGGATCTAACACTGTCTGCCTGTGTCACACAAGAATGAAAACCCCAGACTTTTGAAACTAGATCCATATGCTCCTCTTGGTCCAGGGAAGAACCATATCGAATTGGGAGACAATAAGTTAGAGGTCACCAAAGTTAAAGATAACTCCAGATAGAAAGATCATAAAATGATGAAACTTGATTATTGTTCCTTTAAGACAAAAATATACGGCTTGACAAATTCGAAGTCAAAAGGTATAGAATTTGCAAAAAATACACGTCCGATATAGTCAAAATGTCTCAGATTCGCACGCGAGTAAATTACTAGTATTCTGCGAGTTAAATAAAAGTTGGTTCGCGCTGCCAGGTCTTTCGATACTCCGTTATATTGGTTTAAATTTTTTGAGATAGTTAATTTTACTTGTAGATATAGTATGGTTTTTTCCCACTAAACTGAATCACACAATGGATATCCTGGTTTGTATGCTGCAAGATCTTGATGTGTCGATCCAATAAGTTGTCATTTGCACGAGTTTTGACGCTTATCAAATCGATGCCACGAATTGTTTAACTTACCCATATCGTTGGATATTCCTGGAATGATCCTGTGATCTACATCGAGAGCTCTGCTGTTTATAACATTTTCATGGTATTCTATCGGATTGGTATAACCTTGTGATTCAAACATAGGAGGGCTTTCTGGGGTGTCTAAAAAATTTAAGAAATATATATCAGCTTAACACTTATTACGCTGTTTTAAAGCATGAGTATATATAATCATATTTTGTCTGATTCACACAACAATTCTTAAAGAAACTGTACAAAACATTAATTGGCAGAGGACATACCTGTCGGAAACCCACGAGGAAAAGAAACAACAAAAACATTAAATAAATGTTGGACCAGTAAACAATGGATGGACATAAAAAAGAATATAAAAAATAATAGACTTCGTCAGTTTGGGTCATCTCAACGTAGATTTATAAAAGATCAAACAAAAATAATTTTATTAGGTTAAACGGTGTTAGTATGGAGGTTGTTGTTCCTTAACAACTACTAATAATTTCATGTAATACTTCTTCCTAGATTTTAAGTTAAAAAGTTAAATCAAATACCATTTACTTTGGTATATGTATTTGCACATGTTTTATTTTCATTTTATATAATGTACTTACCACAAATATTTTTTCCCAGTTGACATAAGTTTTGTCAACTACTATATGGAAAAAGAAACCATGCCACACTTAAATCAACAAGTAGTAGTGTTTAAAATTAATTCAACACAATATTCTTCACTGTAAAATATGCACTACATACTATTTGTGAACTATACTATATCAATACTACCTATTATACAGTGCATTAATTTTAGAATTAGGCATTACCAATTAAATGACAACGTTGTTATGATGCGTTTTGCCGGTGCGAGTTTCCCACTCGCACAGTGTATTTTTATAGGACTTTTTTCCTTGTAAAATGATTAAAGCAAATATGTTGTCTATCCCCCCACTTTATTTCAAATATACCTCGAAAGTGCTTTAAAAAGATGGAAACAAAAATGCAGGGCAATGGCACAGCCACCTTTACTTCCAAGCCATGAAGTAGAAATTTGGCAACAACGCGTGGTAGTCCGACTGTGGTTTGTTTTGGTTTAACATTTCATATAGGAAGGCTTGTAAAGTTTGTTGAATTTATTGTTTTTTTTAACTTTATTCGAATGTTTTATTTGTAAATTGTGTTTAAATCAATTAGAAAATATTAATATAAGTAAAATTTCATTCAATTTAGAACTTTTAGAAGATTTTTAACGACAATTTAAAAGGCAAGTATAAATATAACCTACAAAACAAACTGAAAATAATAATACTTTTGCTTCTTGTTACAAAATATGTAAACTAAAATCAACAATAATAATACTTTTGTTTTTTGTTACAGATGCTCTGGCATTGTTGTGTACCTGGTTGCAAAACCAATTATGCCAGTACTTTAAAAACGAAACAGGCAGAAAGTATGTTTTTGTTTCCAAAAGATCCCCAAAGAAGGTATACTGGCTTATGCTCTATTCATAGAGAAGGCTGTACAATTACCAAATCTTCCGTAGTATGTGCCAAACATTTTCATGAACATTGAAAAGTTAATATTTCCCAAATTAAAAGGCAATGCAGTTCCTAATATATTTCCTGAAGTACCATCATATGTAACTGTTCATCGTACTAAAGAAAGAAGGAATCCCGAAGACAGAAGAAACTTTTTGCATAAGAAGAGGGAACAAGAGATAACATAATTATGTCAATTAGACTTAGACAATAATATCCCATTGAAAAACTGGACAAGTAAAATTACAAGTGACTGTGTATATTTCTATGTATTAAACATTAATCAGTTGGAACACAAGTGTGATAATATTTGTGTAATATGTAGTGTAATAGTTAGCAGTAATTTTAGTGTAATCGTTAATGTAGGTAAGAATAGATTAAGTGGTAATGATTTGAAATGGATTTTACAATATATTAAATTAACAAGATGGTCACAATTAGAGAACTTACTTTCTCATTTAGATCTGCTTTTTAGATAAGTGATAACAAATTTGAGTATTACATTCAAAAATCTTTTGAGGATATAGGCTATTTTAAATCGATATACAAGTTATAAATGGTATGTTACATTCAACACATTTTTCATGTATACCTCTTTTAACTTTGTCTATATGACAACAAACCTATTCATATTTAAAATTGCTACTTTTGTATATCTAAGTATGAAAATTCAACAAAAGTTATAAGTAAATAGTAAAATATTTAATTTTCAATTAGATTAATTTAGAACCATATTTATATTGTGTCTGATTTCTTAGGATGAATTTTTTAATCATAATAGTTACACTAAGTTTTTACTTAGCACAAATTTTATATCTTTTGTATTTTTAATAATCTTTTTAAATGCCGTGTTAATGTATTGTGTTATTTATATGCTTAGGTACTTAATATTTAAAATTTCTCGAGATTCTTGACTGCATTTGATTGTAAGATTAACTATTTGACACTGTATTTTAAGTGCAATAAATTTTACTCTAGTGATTATTTTATTGATAATATAACCTAAATAATAATAAAACTTTATATATATATTTACTAAGTATTTATAAGGTTTTATTAATTTAATTTCCCTAAAAATATTTCTGTAATGAATTGAAGTTTTCAAAATATCAGTTTCCTAAAATTCAAATTAGTTTAATATTCTGGTAGACCTTACAGCTGATTATCGGACTACCGACGTCATAGAATGCGGTGTTGCCTTTTTTACTTCATGACTTGGAAGTAAAGGTGGCTGTGGCAATGGGGATACCGCTCACCAACACTAATGGTATATACGCTCAACTTTGCAGACAATCAAGTAATAATGGCTCAAGATTATGACGATTTAAACTATATGGCACGAAAATTAATTGAAGAGTATGATATATGGGGTATAGAAATAAATAAAATCAAAACCGAATACCGTTGTATTGGAGTAGAACAAAAAGATCTCATATTAGACGATAACACCACTTTAAAACACTGCTACTTATCTATGTATCACTATTTCATAAGATGGAACATTAGACAAAGCCATAAGAGAGAGAAATACGTCAGGGAGAAAAGCCATCACAATATTAAATAGCATTTTATGGGACCAATCCATCAGCAAAGAAAATAAAAAGAGTATATATGAGACTATAGTAAGAAGTATTACTTTACACAGCTGTGAGGTATGGCCACAGAAAGAAAGAACACTTGCAACGCTGAAAGTGTAGGAAATGGATTTTTGAAGAAGAATCGCAGGAAAATTTAGAAGAGAAAGAATTACCAACGAACGCAATAGAAAAATAATGGGAAGCAAACGAACAATCACAAGGAAAGAGAAAACGAGGTAGATCGAGAAAAAGTTGGAGCGAGGGAATAAATAAAGAACTGATATAGATGACCATAGAAGAACACCTATGGAACAACCGGACTAAGAGGTGATTGGAAGTTGGAAAACGTTATAAACCGACAAGTAGTAGTAGCAGTACCTTTTTTAATCTAACAAAACGTAGGCTGTGGATGTGGAAGTATCTAGCAGGTAATAAGGATATCGTGGCCCGAAAATACAAGGTTTTATTCTAAATACTCATATAATTACACCAAACAAGAACCCCGTTAATTCTGTAAAAACGTATCCAGAAGCTCATCATAACATGCTGATGTCCAGTATCAAATTATTTCTAAAAAAATTTTAATTGGGAAAACCAATCGAATTAAACCAAATCGAATCGATTGAAATCGAATAGAATCAAATCGAATCGAATCAAATGGAATCGAATCAAATCAAATGGTATCGAATCGATTGGGATCGAATCGATTAAAATCGAATCGAATCAATGAGAACCAAATCGAATCGTATCGAATTGATTGGTATCAAATCGAATGGTATCGAATCGAATCAAATCAAATAAATTAAAAACCATCGCTCCGTGCATAGACGATAAAGAAAGTTATGCTTCCCTTTACCTGTTACTCTCAGAGTGCCACATCCTATTGTTAATAATAACTATAAGGTAATATGCGAGAGAAATATTAATTATTTTATAACATAAAACAGCTATAACATAAAAAAGTGAAAAAAGTTATTTGGTAAAGGAATTCTTCAAAAAAAGTTCATTCTTATAGTAGCAATATTTTGAAAACTATTTTATGCCAAAAACTAATTTTCATGATAAGTTAAATCACTAGCACACACAAATTAAGATCAAACAGATTTTCATAAACTAATTAATTACTTCCAATCATTAATAAATCGTAACTAACGTTTCTGTTTAAAGTGAAGAAATTCGCAACATTAATGCCTCTTTATCATTTACATATTGAAAAATTAATGCACTTTATATTATAAACATACTACAAAGACATGGTTACATTTCTTAATTACGATCAACTTACCTGTTAGAGGAGGAGGAGGATTCCAACCAGAGTCTGGTTCCCATGTGGCTAGATCTTCTTCGGGATTATATTCCTCACTGGGCGGGTAAGGATTAGCCCCCACAGGGGGTTCAAATATATCTTCCCTGAAGTTGTCCTCCGATTGGTAATTTATGTTAGAAGTTTCATAGGAAGGGTTTGAAAATGTATCTGTAACTGTAACAAATAAAAAGTTATTAGACGTACAAGAATTGTTTGATAACGACGTGACCTAACAAATAAAACGCAACTTTGTTTCGCCAAAACAGCTCTTAGTATATAGTCTCTTAGATCATAGATACTTGTTAACAACTACTTACAGCAACGTTACAGAATATCTTGGAATCAGATAATAATTACTGTAGTCAAATGTAATGAATAGGGTTCATAAGACACTAACTAAGAACCGTGTTCATGAATTTTGGAATTCATAATTGCAGGCATGAGGGAATGTGCAATATCCTTATAGAAAAATATTTTCTTTTTTACAAATTGAAGTTGTTCATTTTGATTCTCTCATTTGCATTCGTATCTTCTAATTCGACAATAATAATCCCAAAACACAGTAAACTTTTGTTCATGATGAAACCGTTTTTGCCTTCTTTGGTATAGGAGAACCCCTATTTGTACGTTGTTTGGATTTTCTTAAATACATCGCATCGTAGGATTTATTGACGATTATGATACACCGCAAAATTTCTTCGGATTACAATAAAAACGTGGCAAAGTGTGTACCCCAGAAAAATTAGAAAATATTTCTAATAACACTCTTAAGAAAACGAACGACAAAACGAAAGCACACTCAATATAGGTATTTGTTCAAAGCTACAGTGTAACAATACAAAATTAAAAAAAAACTACAAAACAACAATAAAAATAAAAGCAGGTAATGGATAATGGACGAAATAATGGAATGATTGATGTAAGAAAGCCTTATAAAAACCGTGACAAAACGAAATACAAAAATACTCAAAAAATTCACCCCAAAGGCAAAACAAAATTGGATGAACAGCAGATATCAAGAACTGATAGATTCAAAAAAAATGATTATTTCAAGCATATAAAAAGAAGAAAAAAAATGGAATGTACAAGGACTTAGATCCAAACAAGCAGAAGTATTTAATACATACAATACATACATACAATAATAACAATATTAAATCGTGGACTGAAGTAAATGAACAACTGCTGATACTGGAAATGAAAAAGAATGGGCACAACATCGTAATTGTCGGAGTGTATGCCCCAAATGAAGATGCAGATCCAGAAAGTAAAGACGATCTACAACAATATGAATGAAATACTCTCTGAAATTAAAGAAAACTGTGAAATCTTTATATTAGGAGATTTAAACGGCAGAGTAGGGAGAGAAGAAAATAACAGAGTCGTAGGAAGATATGGGGAACAAATAACCAATGACAACGGAATGCGTCTTAGAGATTTTTGTGAAACAATGTCTCTCAAAATTATGAATGGATTTTTTCAACATAGAGACATACACAAATTTACATGGATACAACCTACTAGGAATCTGCGCTCGATAATCGACTATGTAATCCAACGTCAAACTTCCCAAATGAAAACAACTGACGTAAGGGTATACCGTGGATCAGAATGTGGATCCGACCATCGTTTACTTATGGCCAACGTGATAGTTAACTATCGCAAAAACAATAACACTCAGGTTCAGAATATAGAAAATGAACAAGAAGTAATATCTCCTAAATATAACCTACAAAGTTTAAAAGGAGATTCAACGAAATTTCTTTACAAATTAACTGGCCACAAAATTACAAAATGTGGATCGAGAAAATATATCAGCGGAAGAATTATACCAGCAACTTAAAAAATGCATTCATGAGGCTGCAAGTGAAGCTTTGGGTTATAAAGACAGACATGAAACAAAAAATCAAGAATGGTGGTCGGAGAATATGCAAACTTTAGTCAACAAGAAGAAAACTGCTTATCAGAAATGGATGTCAACGAGAAAGGATGAAGATTACAAGATATATCAAAAATTAAATCGAGATGTAAAAAGAGAAGTAGTGAAAAGTAAAAATGAGATGTGGGATCGAAGATGTGCAGAGGTGGATAGGTAAATGGGTGGAACAAGAGTTGGGCAAGCTTGGAAGGTGATAAAGTCTCTCCGAGGAAGGAAAAAAATCTAACGTACAGTTAATAGATCTGAAAACAGTGGAAACACCATTATGAGATCTTACTGACAGAGGATAGATGTAAATTCCAAGAGATCGAAATGGAAGAAATATCCGAACACACACAAATAATTGAGATAACAACCGAAGAGTTAAACGATGCCCTCAAAAGATCGAAAAACGGTAAAGCAGCAGGACTTGGAGACATCCCAATTGAGTTGGTAAAGTAAGGACCAAAAATATTATATGAGATGTTGGTTCAACTATTTAACAAATGCTTCTTCTTCTTCAGCCTGTGTTCGTCCACTGCTGGACATAGGCCTCTTCCACTTGCTTCCATCGATTTCTACTTTTGGCAATTCTCATCCACTGCTTGCCCGCGACTTGTTTGATATCGTCTGTCCACCTCTTCTGCGGTCTGCCTACTCCTCGCCTGTTCTCTCTTGGTCTCCAGTTTTTTAATCTTTGTATCCATTTTTCGGGATTATCTCGGACGTGTCCGACCCATTGCCACTTGAGCCTTGCAATACGTTCTGAGGCATCAGTAATTTTTGTTCTTTCACGAATGACGTTATTTCGAATCCTGTCTCTCAAACTAATCCCTAGCATGACCCTCTCCATTGTTCTTTGGGTTGTACTGAGCTGCTCTAAGGTTTCCTTTGTGAAGGCCATGGTCTCCAGTCCATATGTAGTTACAGGCAAGATATATTTGTCATAAACTCTACGTTTTAGACACATTGGTATATCTTTATTCTTCAAAATAAAGCTTAATTTGCCGAAAGCTCCCCAAGACAGTTGTATGCGTCTTTTTATTTCGGCTATTTGATTTTCTTTGCCGATTTTAATGGTATGTCCAAGATATATATAGTGGTCTACATTTTCAAGACTGACGTTGTCAATAACAAGGCTAACAAATGCTTAAAAGGACAAAATATCCTTGATGATTGGAATATTAGATACATCAGCTCAATATTCACGAAAGGGGATAAACTCAAATGCTCTAATTATAGAGAAATAACTGTTATCAGCTCAGTGGGGAGGTTGTACGGTCGAATAATAAAAAAAAGAATAGAATCAGAATACGAAGACATAGAAGAACAAAATGGATTTCGTGCAGGAAGATCGTGCACTGATGGTATATTCGTTCTGCAGCAGGTAATCGAAAAACGGAAGGCAAGGAATCTATCTACCCACCTATTGTTTGTAGATTTAGAGAAGGCATACGATACGGTACCTTTGAAAAAACTGTTTCAAACATTGACGAAAGTAGGTCTCAGTAGAGAGTATGTGGATGCTATCGCAAATATATACAAAAATGCAAGAAGTGTCGTTAAAGAAGGAAACTTTATATCTGAATCATTTCCAATAACAAAGGGGCTTAAACAAGGATGTTGTCTATCTCCGACCTTATTTAAAATATATATTCAATCATCGCTAGAGCAGTGGAGGAAACCGGAGTATCCGGAATGGGAATAGACATAGGCGATGGTAAATGTCTAACAACTTTATTTTTCGTAGATGATCAGGTAGTCGTAGCGAATGATGAAGAAGACATGGACTACATGTTTAGAAAACTAAAAAAGAATATGAAAAATGGGGCCTCAATCGAATCAAATGGGGACATCGAAAACAGAACGCAGCAGGGACAAAAAGCGGTTAACATTCTAAACTCTCTACTATGGTCTAAAGATATTAAACAAGAACCAAAATTGACAATCTATCGAACCTTGGTAGAGCCTATTATGACTTATGGGGCAGAAGTTTGGCAGATCACGAAAAAAGATAGAAAAAGAATGGAAGTAGTAGAAATGGATTTTCTAAGGACAGCGTGTGGTGTATCCAAAAAAGATCATATCAGGAATGAAGATATTAGAAGGAGGACAAAACTGTATATTCCAGCGTAGACAGAATTGAAACGAGACAACTAGTGTGGTATGGTCACGTGAAGCGAATGAATGAAGATAGATGACCAAAGAAAGCTTTAAATTACATACCACAACAAAGAAGAAGAAGGGGAAGGCCTTTAGTTGCCTGGGAAGAAAATGTACGACACGTAATGAAAGATATAGTCATCAAAGAAGACGAATGGATGGACAGAAAACGATGGCGTTCGAAATGCGAGAGGCGGCAGAGGCTGTAGGAACCTCGCTTATATATATATATATATATAATATATAATATATATATATATATATATATATATATATATATAAATTTATTGTGTTGGAATATCGGGTATGCGGTCTGTTATTATTAAAAAAAACTCTTTTTTCTTTTAATCCTCTATATTTCGCTGATTTTTTGTCAGCTTCATCAGGAGACTACTAAAAATTTGAATAAAAGTTATATAAAAATCAGTTTAAATAAAAAGTGACTCACTTACAGATTTAGAGTGGAAAGTATTTAAACAAGTTGTTGAACATAATTTGTTCAGAACAGTACTGACAGTTTTTTGTTAAAAGTACCTAGGTCACTAGTAATTAAATGTAAAAATATAAAAACAGAGCAAACAAAAACAACGAAACAATTAAAACACAATAAAATTACACATTAAAAATATACAGGGTGATTTAAAATATAATTGTTAACAGAAAAATTATTTAGACATACTAAGAATATTACAGTAGATATTGCTCAACTGTCCCGTGTCTGCCTTGTAATTTACTGCATACTCTATTTATATGATACATTTCAAAAAAAATCTTTTTTTGTAATTATTTTCTTGCTGTAAAACCCTGACATTTGAGTAATCAAATTGATGGCCAGTTTTTAAGTGATGGTCAACTGCCGCACATGTGTTCTTCCCGTTTTGTGCAGTCACTTTTGTGTTGGGTGACCCTTTGTTTTAGCCATTGAGAAGTTTAGCCAACATAACAGCTCTGGCAATTCAAACAAGGCAGTTTGTAGATAACATTAGTTTTGTTTAAAGTTGGTGGTATTGCTCAATGCGATTGTTTGTTTATATAATATATAAGGTTCTTGAACTCCTAAGTGGAGCATAGAGCTTCAGTGAAAACTCGCCATCGGGTTCTATTTTGCGCTAAGGCCTTCACCTCATTCCAAGACTTTCCTTGTTTTCTTATCTCGTCCATGATGGATCTTCTCCAAGTTTGTACTGGGCGACCTTTTTTCGTTTTCCTTGGGGATTCCACTCTAGGGCAGTCTTTGCAATACTGGAGTTATTTTTTTCGGAGTGTGTGACCGATCCAACCCCACTTTCTGGACTTTATTTCATTTACTACCCTCTTTTGTTTGGTCAGGTGTAGTAAGTCTTCGTTTCTGATGATGTTAGGCCAGAAAATACGAACAATTCTTCGTAGACATTTATTAACAAAGACCTGCAGTTTGTCTGTAAGGGTTTTTGTCGCTTTTCCAGGTTTCACATCCGTAAAGTAGTACAGACATGACATTTGACTGGAATATGCGGATCTTTGTCCTCGTAGTGTATTCTCCAGACCTCCAAACAGGGTTGAGCATGCTGAAAGCTTGTTGCGCTTTTCGTATCCTCATACGAATATCGTCTTCTGTACCTCCGCTTTCTGTTATGACACTTCCAAGATACGTAAAGTTTTCCACATTTTCAATCTGCATGTTATTAATGGTGAATAGCGTGTTGTTTCTTGCATTTATTCTCATGGATTTCGATTGTTTGTTTACGACTTTGAAAATATCGGTGTAACTAGAACACGCTTACCGAGACGCTGACCTAGTGAAATTTGCAATTTAATCAAAAACTTATTTAATATTGTGTACAAATTATATTAGTAAAACATGAATGTATAAACAAACGCACAAGAGTTAAATACCTGGAAAATAACGGGGATAGATTATTAAGAATTAAGAGTTAACAGTAGAATCTAGTGTTGTCATCCATCAACTGGGTACTCTCTCTATTATTGTACTTAGAGAACCAATGAAGTAATTATGAGAATCCAGTGAGTTCGGTTTAATCAACCCCATGCAGGGAGTAAACTACCCTAGAGTTCCACTGTATGGAACTCCTGATGGAAGCAATCTAATAAACGTTATATCATTATTATCCAACATTCTGATACTGGGAACAAACCACATCTGTGAAAGGAATTAAAGTAGACATAATCTATACCAATAAGTTGAGTTACACAGATGACACAGGAATTATACCTGAAATAATTGAATATTTTCCACAAGTACTACAAACTATACCTAAGCAAAGAAGGTGACAAACAGGAAATAAAATAAATACAGCGAAATCAAAATCAATATCCACGCGTTACCTACGAACGTTACCACGTACCTATGTTACATTATAATATAGACATAACACACATCGGTTATTAAGAACCGCAGAAGAGGAAGACCAATTTGCCAAAGCCCAATTCGACAAAGAGAGAGTATCTAAAGATAAAATTATTCTTTTCAATCTTCTTCTTCTTCTTCTTCAGCCTGTGTTCGTCCACTGCTGGACATAGGCCTCTTCCATTTGCTTCCATCGATTTCTACTTTTGGCAATTCTCATCCACTGCTTGCCCGCGACTTGTTTGATATCGTCTGTCCACCTCTTCTGCGGTCTGCCTACTCCTCGCCTGTTCTCTCTTGGTCTCCAGTTTGTTAATCTTTGTGTCCATTTTTCGGGATTATCTCGGGCAACGTGTCCGACCCATTGCCACTTGAGCCTTGCAATACGTTCTGAGACATCAGTAATTTTTGTTCTTTCACGAATGACGTTATTTCGAATCCTGTCTCTCAAACTAATCCCTAGCATGGCCCTCTCCATTGCTCTTTGGGTTGTACTGAGCTGCTCTAAGGTTTTCTTTGTGAAGGCCATGGTCTCCAGTCCATATGTAGTTACAGGCAAGATACATTTGTCATAAACTTTACGTTTTAGACACATTGGTATATCTTTATTCTTCAAAATAAAGCTTAATTTGCCGAAAGCTCCCCAAGACAGTTGTATGCGTCTTTTTATTTCGGCTATTTGATTTTCTTTGCCGATTTTAATGGTATGTCCAAGATATATATAGTGGTCTACATTTTCAAGACTGACGTTGTCAATAACAAGATTAGTTTGTAAATTACTCATTATTTTTGTTTTCTGCAGGTTCATTTTGAGACCTATTTTATTTGACTGCTGGTTTAATTCCTTCAACATTTGCTCCAGTTCCTTGATATCTGTACTAAATAATACTATGTCATCCGCAAACCTCAAATGACTCAAACGTACACCATCAATGTTTACACCTTTTTCCTCCCAGTCAAGCTGTTTGAATACATTTTCCAATGCTAAGGTAAAAAGCTTTGGTGAAATAGTATCACCTTGTCTAATACCTTTATCAAGGCGCATTTTTTCAGTTTTTTCGTCTTCATTGATTTTGATGTGGAATGTGGCCTGTTCATAAATGTTTTTAATGAGTGTAGTGTACCGTGAGTCTATTCGAGCATCCTTCAGGGCTGACAAAAAGGACCAAGTCTCAATACTATCGAAAGCCTTGTGAAAGTCGATAAATGCCATATGTAAAGGTACATTATATTCTGTGGTTTTTTCTACTAGTGTTCTGATGGTTTGTAAGTGATCATTAGCGCCAAACCCTTTTCTAAATCCCGCCTGTTCAACCGGTTGATATAAATCAAGTTTTTGTGTTATGCGGTTGGTTATTATTCTTGTTAACAATTTGTATAAGTGTGACAACAAACTAATAGGTCTGTAGTTTTCAATATTAGTAGTGTCTCCTTTCTTGTGTAAAAGTATTATTTCGGCGTTTTCCCATAGGCTGGGTATTCTTTTTTCTGTTAGACACTTATTCAGTAAGACTTCCACAACTTCTACAACGATGTTGCCGCCCATTTTTAACATTTCAGACGTTATACGATCCTCGCCGGGAGCTTTTTTGTTTTTCATTTGCTGTAAGGCATGTCTAATTTCCGAAGAGGTTATTTTAGGGAGGGTTTCTGAGCCGACGTTTAGAATTGTTCTGTGGTCTGGTTCGGGGTTCTGTATAGTAGATGTATAAAGATTCTTATAGAACGTTTGTATTTCCTTGATTATTTGAGTTTTTTCGGTCACCGTATTCCCCTGTTGATTTTTGATTTTAGTTATATTTGATTTTCCTTTAGTTAAATTTGATTTCAATACTCTCATGTTTCTATTGTTTTCGATGGTTTGCAATATTTGTTTTGTTTTATAAGCCCGCAAGTCTGACCTTATGCTCTTTTTAACTTTATTGTTGATAGCTTTATACTCTGGTAATTCTTTCGATGTTCTTCTTCTTTCTTCCATTAAATTAAGTGTTGTTTGTTTCAGTTTCGTTTTTCTGGGATTTTTATTTTTATCACAGATCTTTTTTGCAGTTGATGTTATGTCGTTCGTTAATTTTTGTGTTATTTCATTTATATCTTTCGTGTTGAATACTGGTAGAGGCCCTAGTTTCTTTTTTAGTTCACTTTGATATTCCTCTTGATTCATTTCGAGTGCTTCTATGTTTGGCAATTTATCCTGTGTTAATAATTTTCTTCTATCTAATTTCGTATTTATTTCTATTCGCGTCCTAACTAATCGATGATCACTACCAGTGTTGAAAGAATTTAGTACAGTAAGATCTTTAGCAATGTTTTTGAAGTTAGAGAGTATAAAGTCAATTTCATTTTTTACTTTGCCATCTGGGCTTAACCACGTCCATTTTCTCTGCATCTTTTTCTTGTAGAAGGTATTTAAGCAGAATAGTTTTTCTTTGCTGAGGAAATTTACGAGCATATCTCCCCTATGATTTCTACTTCCCAGTCCAAAATTTCCAATATATTCGTTGTCGTTGTTATTTTCGTTCTTTCCTATTTTAGCGTTGAAATCTCCCGTAATTATTACGTAATATGTTTTCTCTAGGTTTCTGGCTCTTGTAATGTCTTCATAAAGTTGTTCTACCTCTTCGTCATCTGCAGAAGAAGTTGGTGCATAACAGTGGATTATTTGAATGCTGTATCTACGATTTAGTTTTATTACCATATAGATAACTCTATTAGAAATTGCTTGGAATTTGGTTACCATGTTTTCAATTCTCTTATGTACTAAAAAGCCTACGCCTCCTATACCTTGGTTATTTCCTGAATTGTATTGGTACAAAGTGTGCCCTGATTTTAGTAGAGTCGATTCTTCGCCTTTAAGCCTTGTCTCGCATAGGCCTACTATGTCCCATTTGATGGTCTTAAGTTCTTCTTGCAACTCTTCTAGGTTATCTTCTGTCCTCATCGTTCTGATATTATATGTTCCGATGTGCATTCTGTGTGTACTAAGCGAATTCTTGCCTCCCCCATATTCCACGAGGCAGACCCTTTTCTGGGTGTGGGATTTGGCATAACATACTCCACCCACCTGGGGACCGTTCCGTTTCGTTTTAGTATTCGCCATTTCTGTATTTGGAAGGATGATTAGCCTTGAAACACCACGCTGGCTAGACGGGTTGGTGAGTTTTATATCAGCCGCCCATTCTGGGTCAGACGCTGTTCGCAGCCGTCCATTCTGGATCAGACGCTACTGTTTTGATTCTATATCAACCCTAAAATCGAGGGTTGCCATTTCCGCCATCCACACCGTACCGAAGCTCCGCTTCTCCGCCGTGTCTGCCGTTGTGGACTTCATCCGTAACCCTGGACAAGGGACCCTAACCAGGTACTGGTTTCCCGGGTCAGGAAACCCCCGGAATCTGCGGAGGGCAGGGATTGATTCATTTTCCCTGATAGGACTATCTTTAAGAATTTAAAGAGTTCCTACCCGCTACCCGCTCTTTTCAATCATTCATTGTAAAATAAAACAAAAATATTATTATAAGTATTTCGATATCGATCTCGATTCCTGTCCACCTGGCTACTTCCAGTTTTTTTTTAAGTAGATATGTACCACAGTTTGAAACACTATTAAGCACACTGGTGTAATTTAACAAAAATGAAACTATTCTTATATTTCCAGAGATATTCTGGCGGTTATTAAATTATAAAAAAAAATGTTTACCATATGCATTGTTTGCTTCCGTCGTTGTTGGACCATAGCTGCCAGTATTTCCAAATTCCAATTCAGCTTTTGAAAATGGAGGCATTGGTGGAGGAAGCAAGGGTATAGTATTCGTGTCATATCCATAGGAAGGCTGAGGAGTTGTCGGTTCTATGAGCGGAGGTGGAACTTGGGTATTCGGTGTCGAAATTGGTGGAGTGAAACTTGTTTCCAACGAAGAATCGTTGGTATTATTGAAACTGCTGACGTTGCTAAATAAAGTGCTGCTAAAACTCTGTAAATAATAAAAAAATATTTAAATATGAATATAAGGGTTTTAGTGCCTGTTGGAGAATGAGCTAGTCCGAATTTAACAACAAAAATATAAGAAAGCGAATTCAATATAAACTGGACTTAAGTCTTTTATAGCTGTAGAACCATGGACGTCTAAACACAGATGGACTCAGTTATTTACATAAAATTGTGAAGTCAAAATTATTTGAATAGGTCACATTCTCAGCACCTTCAACTGTTGTCACGTTTTGTTTTAAAATTTCCTATTCGCGAGTCGCTGAAAATATTACTCCGTATTTTATACTCTACAGGTGCTATCAAACCAAAATAATAATTTATTGGTTAGATTAATATATTTAATTGTAATCAAAATATCATGTGTGCACATAGTGTGCATTATCATTTAATAATAGCGTATAATAGATATCAATCAATTATTTTATATGTAGAAGCACTGAAAACTATTTATAAATGGCAACGGTTGTTTCCATTTCTCTGTCTTATGGATCTACGTCAAACTTCAAATGCTGTTCCATGTTTGTTTATTTTTTAGTAAAAGTTGTTTTTTCGATATTTTGGCTGTATTTTGAGTGATATTTGTGAAAAGTGAAATAAAATAAACGAAATATTTACATCCCGATCTCTCATTTCATTTTTAAGTACATACAATTTACATTATTTAAGATGAGGAAATGAGGAAGCGTGTTTGTTTACATTTTAATAGGCGTACCATTGGGTTTATTCATGTTAATTAATGTCTTGAATAAGATATAAGTTCATGAAATTAGTAGACATTTTTAAATTGTAAGTAGACATCATCTGATTAAAAAAGATCTGTTTAGTACCTTTTTAATTTAATATTTCTCATGGATGCAAATAAATTAGTGAAATGAATAAAACTCATTTATTTTTCTATGTAGGTTTCCAAATAATATTGACGATCGAACTATTTTGGTAGCAAATTTAGGAGAAAAACATAAAGATTTTTTATTGTAGCATTATTTTGATACCTATTAAAAATTAACTTGAATTCAACTATATTTTATTGTATTAATTTTAAAGCAAATAAAATTGTATTTTAATTTTTCTATAAAGACGCGATTTGTTAATAGTTAAACTCTCGTTTTTTTAAATTCTTTGAACGGTGTTTTTATACATTATTACTATTTCCAATTTTTAAAATCTAAATAATTACCCGCGAGTAAAAATTCAAGCACGCTTATGCTCATTGCGGAAGCATCACATTCTATGGAAGCTTCAAAACATTGTTGTGTCCATCTATGTTTATACGTCCATGTGTAGAACATTCATTAGTAAAGTAAATAAAATTTTGGCGCTTAATCAAGTATTTGTAATAACAGTACGCCGTTCATGGAGAAAATTAACAAGCAATATGTCTCTAAAATTCCAAAAAATTGTTGCCAGAACTTTCCCAGCAGAAAGAGGGTCTTTATTTTCCGTGGTGCTGCTTCTCCAGGTTTTCGCCACTCCGAGGTGAAATGATTCACTTATGTCTCACCAAAGGTGAGCTGAAGAAATGTAGCTCAAGAAATCATCTATTCGATAACAAGATCTTTTGTACCAGTCGTAGACTTGGGTCTTTGAAAGTAGTTTACATAAAATCACGGTAGGTTTTGGCCCTCCCGCGACAAAATTTAATAATAATGCTGAGACATGATGCTACTAAGAAGCAATCTCTTGCGAGCTGAACGGATTTGCTTCCCTTCACTTAATATCCCTATCTAAACATATATCAAGACGTCACGTTAATCACTTCACCTAGCGTTAAAAAAAATGAAAATCCTTCATATTTGATTCGCACTCGTAAACCTATTACAAAATAGTATGAAAAGTATAATAAGGAAAAAGGGCAATTAACAACCTAAATCAGTGTGAAATTAAAAATGTTTAAAAATTAAAAATAAATAAAAATATTGAAAATATACATCGCCAAAAATGCATAAAAATGAAAATGTTAATATTGAAAACAAAAAGTAAAAAAAAATAGTCATTATTAAGTTTACTGATTAAATTAGGGAAATTTACTAAGCCTCAAAATTATCACACAATCAATTTTAAGTAATTTATGTGGAAGTTAAGACTAAGTCAGAATTAGAGAATTTGATGTATTAAAAATAATTTTTTCCCGCAAATCTTTTTTAAGAGGCATACATCCAAAGTTTGTCTGTTCCTATTCCGTCTTTACAAGGATATTATGACCAACTTTTTCGTAGTCGTCTTATATCTCTTTTATGAGTATCATCCCTTTGGATGATACTTGACTTTTTTGGTAGTATTTCGTTTTCCATTCTATAATCAAATTGTCTTCATTTATCTTTATAATCAGTTATATTGTTTTCATTTCTTGTTAGATCTCCTCATGGCTGTAGAGAGTATATTCTACTCTCGCGCTTTTTATGATTTATACAATACTAACTCACGTACACTAGTAACGGTACAGGCCATTTAGAAAAGTATTCAGCATTTAATTAAATATTTTACTTTTAATATTCTTAATATTTTTAAAATAATATGATCTTATTTATATATCTTTTACCTATTTCCATTGTATAATTTTATATTTTTAAATTTCTCTCTGTAAAGTTGGCATTGACAATTGTTTTCAAGTTCAGAGAACTACACTTGTCATTGATTACCCAATACGCTTTTAAAACATTTAAAAGATCAACTATGAGGCTTTTATATAACACTTTCAGAACCTCGGGATCATAATTATGCACAGGTATTTCAGCTAGCTACATCGTTAGGAAATCTGGATTACTAATGTGAGAAACTTATGTAGGAGCAGTTGTAGGAGCCTTTATTTTAAAACTGAATCATATTGGCGACGCAACAGAGGTTGTAGCCAGAACTTATTTTATTGTTTACTTACAATGGTGGACGCTCGAAAACTTCCTCATGGTAAGTAAATAAAAATCCAAGAAAATACGTTTGCTTTTATATGATTTTTAACATTTTATAATTTCATTGTGTTGTAAAACGATAAAAGAATTTATGTTCATACTAATTTTGTAGAAAAAAAATATTTATACCAATAAAAAATCGGTTTTTATTTGTTGGACATAATTATGAACATTAGAAATGGACTGAAATGGAAATGAATATATTTTCAAATAGGTAAAGAAATTTGGCCATTGGATCAAATCTATCTCCTCAAGAACTTCCCGTTTACTATCAAACACCTGCAATAATAGAATTGAGTTCTCCATTCAACAATACATAGTAGTTTCAACCATGTTCTACCATCCATCAATTACTAGAGTACCGGCATCATTGTTTAACTTTGTATCGAGACCTGAGGATGCTTTGCATATTGTAGAAAGCGAAACCGGTCGTCTGATAGTTAAATTAAATTGATTGTGAGTAAGTCTTATTTATTATTTCTTTACCTATTTGAAATGGACTCACACAAGCAACACATTCATGATTTGAATATATTTTCATATATAATTTAATTTTTTTTTGACCTAGGTGCAATAAATATACATGCACATATTTTTTAAAAAATATGTATTTTCGTTTTTTACATATTTTTATTTTAAATGTGGGTTTTAGTAGGTGATTTGTAAATATTTTTATTTTAAGAGAGAAAATACGATCCAGAAAACGAAAAAGATGAAGCTATTTTATTGGAATTACTGGATACCATTTCTGATATTGAACTTAGTGACGAGGATGAGGATATTCCAGATCTCTTCTCAAGTAAAACAAAAGTTCGTGTAGGTGTCGATAAATTGGGACCTGCTCTTGATGAGCTATCTGAGGCATACCGGAATGATGAGAAAGATAAAGTTGACATTTCAGAGCCCTCGTCAGGCAAGAAAAAAGAAGTTCGTGTAGGGGCTGATCACACAGGATCCACAAAGATTCAAATCCCTGAGTCACACGAGGATGAAGAGAACAAATCTGGGTCACACGAGGCTGATGAGAATGATTTATCATTTGCTGGACCATCTACTTCAAAAGGAGGCAATTTTAGCTTTGTAACAACCAAAAAATCTGTAAAATGACGTAAAAAAGATTTTGAACCTCCAGATTTGGTTTGGAATAAGGAAAAACAACCTACCCCTACAACACCTCTATGTGAAGAGCTTCATGATCCTTTATATATTTTTTTCTAAATATATAGACAAACAGCAGTTTGAACAGATTTTACCAATATGTATGTTTTTCATACCGAAAAAACTCAGTTTAAAAATACATGTGCAGATGAAATTACAAGTTTATTTGGTTTACACATTATTTCCTGTTGCCTAAAATTTCCAGCAGTTTGTTTATATTGGCACAAAAATTTGCATATCAATATATTTAGTAAAACAATAGACCGATTTTTTCAACTTTGGTCAAATTTACATTGTGTAAATACTTTGACAATCCCCAATAACTGTACCGGTAAGTTCTATAGAGTACGTCCTTTGTATGATGGTATCAGGAAACGATGTTTAGAGTTGAAGTTAGAAGAAAACCTATGTATTGATGAACAAATGGTACCATTTAGGAGCCATTTGTATGTGATTCAATACTCAAAGGGTAAACTTCCATCCTGGTGGGTAAAAATTTTTGTAATATGCGGAAAGTCTGGCATCGCTTATGATTTTGTTTTAAATAAAGGCGCTTCTACTGGGTTACATGCTCAGCTGCTAAAACAGTTTGGATTTGATGCTACAATAAATCTTCAAAGAAATAATAAATAATGAAGGGCACAAGTTATATTACGATAATTCTTTTCCTCGTATGAACTTCTGAAGTCTTAAAATAAAAAAAAAAAATATTAGCAGCTGGAACAATTCGAGCCAATAGGTTGAACAATCCTCCTGTGAAAACAGATAAGAAATGCCGAAAAATGGTAGAGGAATTACAGATCAAGTAACAAGTAAAGATGATGTAGTTTTAGTCAAATGGATGGATAATTGGAGTGTACTTCTGGCTTCTAACTTTGTTGGAATTGGAAATACTGATGTAGTTAAGCGGTGGGACGAGAAAGAAAAGAAGTATATGAATGTAGAAAGACCTGAGGTGGTAAAGCTTTATAATCATTCGATGGGTGGCATTGATCTATTAGATCAAATGATCAGAGTTTATACTCGTTCAAAAAAATGGACACTTCGGATCATTTTTCATGCCGTTGACTTGGCTGCAGTAAATAGCTGGTTTGAATATCGACAAGATTGTTACACATTAAAAATGCCAAAAAAAGGACCGATTAATACTTCTAGGTTGCAAAATGAGGCTTGCTGAAAGTCTGATCAAGGCAAACAAACCAATTTCTGTATCAAAAGAGGCAGGAACTGGATGGAAACAAAGAAGGAAAAAGGTTTAATCATGCCAAGTGTAACAAAAAGACTCACTTTTTTTTATGATAAATGCAATCTATACCTTTGTACAAAAAAAGATAGAAACCGCTTTTCTTTGTTTCACAGAAAATGATTTTTTGTTATTTTGAGTCTTTATTACGTTTTGACACACATTTTAGTTTTTACATTTTTTTGTTGCTAACTAGTTTTTGTGTTTTAACTTAATTTCTTTATTAAAAGTTTTAGTATCTTGCCAGTTTTTGATCTCTATCGATAAAATTTATTTACGATAGGACCCCAATGTGCATAATAATGAATAGATTTTTTTTTCCATACTAAATGATAATTTTAAAAAATATACATATAATTTGACTTTTAAGACCACTGCCTACTACAAATTGTAGAAACAAATTTGTTTTTCCTATAAAACAAAATCGGATCTGAAAGGGTTAATTTATTGCATTTTTAAAATGAGGATACCTACGCAATATGAAAGCTTTAATTTATTACGGTTTTTCATTCGAAATACTCCTGACCAACTAAGAAGATTTGCCAGAGGGTTTTGTCGACACCGAGAGAACTGGAGCAGAACTGCACAAGACGTCGTGATGAGCGCACCTCCAGATTAACGTGGGAGAATTCTTTCTTATCGTTGCACTGTCCGCCGCAACGTTTACGTATTTTCTCTATTTTACAATCACATATATTTTTTCAGCTTACAAGAGGATTTTCAGAAGATTCCAACCCGTAGTGTTAGCGAAACGTCGAGAACTAATCTCAGAAGACAACGGCTTAACAGCCCGAACAAACAGGCTAACAAGTTAGACGATGGCCGTGAAAGCCTAACGCATTTTATCATATATTTTTTATTTTATAGTTTACCATTGTCATTAATTATTCAGCTAATTCGTACTACTTTAAACTTACGGCCAGAGATTTATAGAAATAATTTTTTCTGATAAATGCAATGTTCTTTATCTGCAAATATCTTTTTTATTATCTAATGTTCTATTTATTTACCTCAGTAATTTCTGCCTAACTCTTAATCTTGGATTTCTGGTTACTAGCGTGTATTTCGTCTTCTCTTCATTTATTCGGAGACCCAGACTATCTGTTTCCTCCGTGGGCTGTGAAAACACCTCTCTCACGTCTCTAGTAAAATGAGCGACTGCATTTAGATCATCAACTTTGTCATTGACAATTTCAACTCAATAATGCCATTTGCTAATGTCTGCCGCGGTTGCAGACAATAAAAGACTTAAAAAGTTATATTAAGTTATATCAAGTCAGTTGAAAAATTTAGACTAACACTTTAGGAAAATGAAAAAAAAAAGGTCTAAAAATATAAAAAATGAATGTTCATAGTGTCTTCTAAAAATAAACTGATAAACGCGCACCTTAAAGAATCTAATCTAACTTAAACTAAATAGTGATTAATGGTAAAAAGGAAGGTAGTAAGTATGGACGAGTTATCTGCTTACCTCTAAATTAAACGTTTCTGATCCCATAAAACTAGCAAAGCCATTAGTGCTTAGGAAGCTATTCGAGACGTTCGACAAATCAGCGGCAGACTCGAGGGTTTTATTTGGTGTATAATAACCTGCACTGAACTGCAACTCGGCCTTGGGATTGTAATCTGCAAGTGGAGCTGAAAATAATAGAATATTTGTTAATAATGCAGAATAATTATTTTTTTATTCACAACTTTTAACTCTTTGACTACAATTGATTCCTGTCAAATTTGTTTACCATTTAAAGTAGATATTTAACTGATTATTTTTTTCCCTGATTATTCGTTAAAAAACAAACCAAACACTTCATTTAAGAAATGATGAATGTGAAAAATCTATAAACCCAATGTTCCTCTAAGATCCATCGTCAGTGCATACAACTGCCCCAACCATAAATTGGCAAAACATCTCGCTTTATCCTTACAACCATTAGCCGAAAAGGCCTCGTCCTTTGTCAAAAACTCTTTTCATTTCATTGATCTTCTGAAAAACATTTCTATTTCACTCTCAGATATATTAGTTAGTTTTGACATTGTTTCTTTATTCACCAACATTCCAACAGAAGAAACCATTTCCATCTTGGACTCTAAACATTAAATTCCCCAAGACACACTATCTCTTATAAAACACTGATGTCTAATACATATTTTTTATTCCAAAACAGCCATTTTCATTCCATTCTATTTTTCATTCCTTTTCGTAACAACAGCCATGTCTTCATCAAATCTCAAACCCACCTGCTGGTTACAGTACGTTGATGACACCTTTGTCATTTGGCCCCATGGTAAATACACATTAGATCTCTTCCTCTCCCACCTGAATGGAATACATCCCAGTATTCAACTCGCAAACCCAGTAACTCAATTCAGTTATCAACACGCTTATTTTCCGTTCCATAAGACTTAGCGACAACAACCATAGGTCATCTGAAATCAACTCAATAAGGCAAACACTCTTACAAAACGGCTACCATAAAACCCAAATCAATTGGAACATTCAAAAACATCTAAAACCCATTCCATCAAAAAAGAAACCTTGCCGCCGGATCAACCCAAAATCTTTCTACCTTATATTAAAGGTGTCACTGACAAGATCGGTAGAACTCTTATCACTCTAAACATCGAAACCATCTTCACTACTCACTTTAAATTGTCCAATCTCATCAGATCCGTAAAAGACCAAATCCCCAATGAAGACCATGGTGTCTACGAGATATCTTGTTTCAGTTGCCTACGTACATACATAGGACAGACAAACCGATGAATCCATAACCGTATTTACGAACGTTCTCTATCAGTCAAACATTCCGATACTACTTCAGCCCTGGCCCAACATCATATTCAGACAGGCCACAAAATAGATTTCGAAAAGGCAAAAATCATCGCTCCCGTCCGCTCTTTAAAATCGAGAATCATTCGCGAAGCCATCGAAATTGAGAAACGGCCGAACAGCTTAAACACACGTGATAACGCCGGCAACAAGGCGACCACTACCTCAGCGACCCCCCGCCTCAACCCACACCGCTCAGGCCACGTCAGCTCAGACCACCTCAGCGCATAAGGTTCGCGCGCATACAAATAGTATAAAAGCAGCGACACAGGGTAAGACGGGTAGTCACTCGACACTGAAGAGTAGGCAGAATGAGACCTCGAACTCGAACGGAACCGTCTCTCTTGAAAATGGCTTTAAAATGGGTGAAGAAACGTTGAGCATTAAATTCTCAACGCAGTTCTTCGCGAGAACTCAGTACCACAGTACCACTTAAGTAGAAGAGGCAAGAAGTATGCTTTAGGTGAGCAATTTCTTAGGTGTTTATCATTCAATAAATTAGTTCGATTAATTACTTTGTTCAATTTACTAATGTTTGTATTTTGAGAACGATTTCCGAAGCGGAAATTGATACGTCAATAAACGTACTTTAACCTTTAATTGTTGCTTATTCCCATTTAAATAGTTATTAAATTAAAATGCCACAAGAAAATAGCTTCAGAACAAAATTAGTTCGATGGTTAGAAGAATTAGGAAAACTGGATCACAAGTTAGAAACTTCTTTGTCCAGGTAATATTAGGACGATCGGCATGTCTGTCATTAAATATTGTACAAACTTGTCCGGCACTTTTGCGTGTGGGTTACTTTATATTTTTATGCTATTTTAAACATTTTTTTCGTGCAGTGGTTTATTATTAAAATTATTTTAAAAAAATTATAATTTTCATGACTATCTGATGCTACAAGGTGTTATTTGATGACTCATAGCAAAGAATATAGACGCTTATAGAAGAATCTTTCACTGTTATGTTTGAAAGTTTGCAAAAGATGATCGCACGTTATGAAAAAGAATGGGAGGGTGGATCGAGAAGGGAGCGGTCATGTCAACGCTATTATTGCTTTTTAAAATATGAAAGAGTGGGGCAACAAATGCAACAGATATTTTTATGTATAATGCCAGAGAACTACGAACACATAATGCCGCGTGGATGTAGAATAGGATTAAATTTTTGCGTTTTATAATATTTTTTAAAGAAAATAATATTTTAACTTTTAATAAATGAATCCTATTAGAAAAAATAATATGATTCGAATTTTTAATTTAAATAGGTACAAATCTACAAATAATATTATAGTTAATAAGAAGAACTCTCTTCTTATTAACTATAAAATTAATTCAACCAATAAAGTCATCAATCACCGGAATTAAATATTTCCAAATTTTCTAAATTTAATAATTTCTTCTTTGTTTTTAATATAAAATAACAAAATGTAACACTGTTTTTTCTGCAGAATAATGGAAACATATCTAAAAAGCTTAATGAAAAGTCCTGAGAAAATTAAATTTTTGGTTGAATTAACCCAAAAATTAACGAAATATTTTAAAAAAATATTTCGTTAATTTTTGGGCAGAAAAACAATATAATAAAAATTTATGTGACGGTTTTTCGTTGTGTTGGAACAATCCTATTTTTAATTCAAAGTTATAAAATGTAAAAAATAAATGCTTTGAATATTGTAAATATCATACCTTTTTAAATTTCAAAATTCAAAATTTAACAATTTAATATATTGAAAATAAAGATTTTATTGTCAAAAAAAAACAAAAAAAGCATGGGATTTTTTTTAATCGTAGATGCAAAGTTAAATAAATAGCTCCGTTCGTACTCCTTTCCCACTTTCCCCTAACTACATCTTTTATGAGATAGTTTAAGCCGACTGCCAGATGTGTTTTAAAGTGTAAACCCTAACCAAATCGTCCATTTGAACTGTTCTTCTATAAGCGTCTATATTCTTTGCTCATAGCTTAGTTAATTTTTGACATTTCAAATTGTTATAACTTCCTTATTAACAAATGTATTTTATTAAAATTTTTGTTACATCTAGGTATTGTGGCGTAGAAATTTTTTTATTCGCTAATAAAAATTCGTCATTTTAGACTAAGAAGTAGTACCTTAGCATGCTCTGGAAATTTGAATAAACATTTTAAAGTATGTCTCTAAGTAGACCTTTTATTACATATTTGAAAAAAAAAATGGATAAAATCGGTTACCAAATTCAAATTTTATAGAGGTGTGTCCAATCTAAATTAGTCACACTGTATGTTATTCCAATAAATATTTTGTGTTTCTTTAAGCATGCTGTATTTTCGAATTTAATATACTTTCTACACTCGTATTTTCAGAATTACTGGTTCTAAAGGTTCAATATTGTAAACTCCTGGAATGATATATGTATATATTTAAATTACCTTTTTTGATACTATTTATTACTTCATCTGCAGACTCTTCTGGTAAATCAAGATCAGAATCTGGACTAGGTGATGGAGCATTTATATCTGGTGAAGGTACAGGACTTGACAAGGTTTGTTTGTGTTCTTCTAGTTTCCTTTGGAAGGTTTTTACCCTCAAACCAAACATCTTGTATGCCTAGTAAATAAAAGAAATAAAACTATAATTATAATAATGATTTCTATAGTTATTTTAAATATACATCTCCCCATAATAACTAAAAATTATAAAAGTATTGCGTAAACTAGAGATTCTGGAATAACAACAAGAAGAACCATTATTAATATGAGTGTATATGAGTGCATACTAGCGTATGATGATGACATCGATATCATAGTAAGAAAGGCAGACCTGGTCCAATCGTTCACGACATTGAAAGCAGCAGCAAAAATAATGGTGCTACACGTTTATATTAGTAAAACTAAGCAGTTAAAGGTGACAAATAATAGGCAAATAGCAAAACCCGAAGATCTAACAGTTGAAAAATATACTTTCTGAAACTGCAGAAATTAACAAATATAATACAGTGAACGGCTAAATTATGGAATATTATCATTATTTCGAAAACCGTCGAGTTTTGAGGGAAATCCCGAAATAGGTCGATTTTTGTTATAAAATACCCATCTTATAACGTGCATGGAGTAGGGATGACGTCACCGGTGTTGGTGTAGTGACGTACTTTAAAGTAACCAAATTATGCATAATTATTTTAAATTAAATGTTCGAAATGCCATCCATCGGATTCTTGACAATATGCGAATCTACGGACACATTCATCAAGTACATTGCGGATGACTTCTGGAGTAATTAGACTCATTTCATGCCTAATTCTATCTTTCAAGTCCTGTAAGTTTTGGGGTATATTGACATAAACTTTTGATTTTATGTAACCCCACAGGAAAAAGTCTAGAGGTGTTAGATCTGGCGACCTTGCTGGCCACTCTATAAAACCTCGTCTTCCGATCCACCTCCTGGGAAAGCAATGATTTAAAAATTAACGTACATTACGTACGTAATGCGAAGGGGCTCCATCTTGTTGAAACCAGATCTTTTCACTAGGTAAATTTGGATTATTGGCATTTGGATAGATGTTAGCAAGGACAGATATAAGTTGATTTGTCAAAAAAGTTAAATAACATTCTCCTGTTAGATTTTCTTCAAAGAAAAAAGGGCCAATGATTCTGTCATTATTGATCCCTGCCCATACATTTACTTTCTGAGGATATTGCGTGTGTGACTCAGTCATCCAATGTGGGTTTTCTAGACTCCAATATCTGCAATTTTGACGATTCACGTATAAAAAATGTGGCTTCATCGGAAAAAAGGATTTGATTGATGAAATGTGGATTGCGGATACATAAATCCTGCATAATTTCAGAAAATTGAAGCCGGAGATCGGGATCGTCATCGTTTAATCCCTGATGTAGTTGAATTTTGTAGATATGGTATTTTTCTTTTTTTAAAATAAGTAATACTATCATTGGGAAACTCTAGCATATTCACCCATTTATGTTGAACTACTGTGAGGATTGTCATGTACATTAAATAAAGTATCAAGTTTCACATTGTCTTCAATTTTAGGACGCCCAGCGTTTTTAATATGTTTAACGTGCCCAGTTTCTCAAATTTTCGGACTATTTTACTTACTGTTGATTGGCTGATGGGTCTGTTTGGATCTTTTGCGTTGAATAAATTGCATAGTTCATTCTGTGTTCTTTTTTATCTCCGCATCCGCTACGAATTAATATTTCTATGCGTTGTGTTTCATTTAGGTAAGCCATAATTTAGTATTAAAAAGTAAAAATTACAGTTGACAACTGATGACAATTCACAAAATCAAAACATTTACGTCAATAAATATTACAGTAACTATCACTTGCTTGAATTGACATTTGACAAACAGTTTCAGTGTTTATGAGATAACTTGTTCTGTCCATTATTATTTTTACTTATTTTTGCTTTTTTACCTCAGACTGACGGTTCCTGCCATGACTTACATCAAGTCATGGCAGGAACTGATGGATGGCATTTCGAACATTTAATTTAAAATAATTGTTATGTATAATTTGGTTACTTTAAAATACATTATGAATTAAATCATTAGTTGTAATTTAGTTGAATTTAAATTTAAAAAAAATTGTTTTTGTACCCTTAAAAAAATATTTTAGTTAAAAATATAATGTCGTTAAATAGAGAATTAAATTCTCCTTCAAATGAGGTGTCGCATTATACCGATTTCTATTTTAAAAAATTAACGATTAAGTCACTACACCCACACCAGTGATGTCATCCCTACTCCATGTACGTTATAAGATGGGTATTTTATAACAAAAACTCCGCCTCTGGTAGATACTGGGTGGATTGAGTAGCTCAGTAAATGCCAGTGCCGGTCCCAAGCCCGGATGAAGGAGGAGGGTTACAGCGGTAGGTTAGCTCCCCGCCCTGCGTAAAAGAAATATTGCTAAAAATCCCAAGGAACAGCCTCGGAACTCGGATGGCTTCAAAGGAAAACGACATAGGCAAAGAAAAAGGCTAACGAATTTTGGATGTTGGAACATACAAGGACTGAATACAAAAGAAGATCAAGTATTTAAGGAACTCAGTACATACCGAATTGACATCGCAGTACTCAGCGAAACAAAAAAGAAAGGACAGGGGAACCACTACAAAGACGACTATATATACTTCTGGAGCGGAGTAGAAAAATCAAAAAGAGCCAAAGCTGGAGTAGCGGTCGTGATAAGAAAAAACATGGAAAAATGTATTACCAACTGGAACCCGATAGACGAAAGAATTATAACAGTAGACCTTACAACAAAGGGGAGAGACATAAAAATAATTGGCATCTATGCACCCACGGACGACTCAGATACAAACACTAAAGACATGTTCTTCGACAAACTCTCAGAAGAGTTAAATAAAATAAAAAAAAGACAAGAAATAGTCCTGCTAGGGGACCTGAACGGAAGAGTAGGTAAAGCTCTTGACAACAAAATAATTGGACAACACGGAGAAGATGTAGTAAATGAGAACGGAACAAGATGGTTGGAGGTATGCGAACAACATTCGTTAAAAATACTGAATGGATTTTACAAACATAGAGACATAAATAAATATACATGGACTCAAAAGACAAGAAAACTGCAGTCAATTATAGACTATATAGTAGTTAAACAAGAGACATCTTTAAGACCCTACGATGTAAAAGTTTGGAGAGGGGCAGAATGTGGATCGGATCACCTACTAGTAAAGGCACCCGTGGAAATAAGATATATTAAACAACATAAATCCCAAGAACAGACAAACAAAGAATCCATACGGCTCTATAACATAGACAGCTTAAAAAATGAGTCCACAAGTTTTCTCTATAAACTACGTTTGGCACAAAAATTAGACGAAGAAATAAACGGAACAGCGGAAGAAATGTATGAGACTTTGAAAATCAAAATTCATGAAGCAGCATTAGAAGCTCTAGGTACGAAAGAAAAACTAAACCGTAGAAATTATTGGTGGACAGAAGGTTTATTAGAACTGGTAGAAGAAAAGAAAAAACTGTATCTCAAATGGTTAGCGACAAAAGATGAGGAAGACCGAAAGAACTATAACAGATACAAATATATAGTAAAAAAGGAAATTAAAAAAACAAAAAACATAACCTGGGACAACAAGTGTGCAGAAATAAGCTCAATGGTAGGAGGATCTAGGTCCAGACAAGCTTGGAAAACTATCAACAGTCTTAGAAAAAATACAAACGAAACAAAAAAAATAAACCCCATAGACATAGAAAGATGGAAAAATTATTACGAAAATCTATTAAATGAACAACGTACACAGTTTCTAGACACACATATAGATATAGTTGAAACGGGTTAAATGAAGTGGCGATGATTACCGTAGAAGAAATAAAAAACGCATTACAAAAAATGAAAAATAATAAAGCTCCTGGGCCGGGTGATTTACCTATCGAGTTATTCAAACATGCCACTGCAATAACATTAGAATTGCTTTGTAAAATGTTTAACAAGTGCCTACAAGGAGAAAGTATCCCAAGAGATTGGAAAGTCTCGTACATAAACTCCATCTACAAAAAGGGAAACAGGAATGACTGCAGTAATTACCGAGGTATCAGCATTACGTCATCCACTGGCAAACTGTATGAAAGAGTTCTGAAAGCCAGAATAGAAAAAGAAGCCACAGAGATCGAAGAACAAAGTGGATTCCGACCAGGGAGATCTTGTGTCGACAATGTATTTACTCTCAAACATCTAATAGAAAAGAGATTAGCAAGAGGACTAGAACTTCATGCCACTTTTATAGATCTCCGTAAAGCGTTTGACTCCGTACCACTGCAGAGACTATGGACAACATTGGAAAACGCAGGTATAAATGCAGTATATATAAATGCCGTGAAAAAGCTATATCAAGATAACCAAGCTTATATTAAGGTTGGAAACCAAATTTCCAAGGGTTTCACCCAAACAAAGGGTGTCAAACAGGGCTCTTGCCTCTCCCCAACCCTATTTAAAATATATCTTGGTAATGCTTTAAAATATTGGATGAGAAAATGCAGCCCAATGGGCATATGGGTAAATGACACTCCTATATACACAATCCTCTTCGCAGACGACCAGGTAGTTCTTGCCGAGGACCTACAAGATATGACGTACATGATAAACAAACTAATAGACGAATTCAAAAAATGGGGATTAGAGGTTAATACCGAAAAGACACAATACATGAATATAGGAGGCATCGGTCAAGACATGGAAACAGAAAGCGGATTAATTAAAAACGTTGATCAGTACGAATATCTCGGAGTTACACTAAGCGAAGACGGAAGAGACGACAAAGATATAACAAGAAAAATAGGAAAAGGAAAAAACATGATAAAAACACTACATCCGATCCTGTGGAATAAAACTTTAACTAAGAAAACAAAGAAAAATATATATCAGGCTATGATTCAGCCGGTGCTGACGTATGGGTCAGAAGTGTGGGTCTTTAACAAGAATATGTCACAAAAACTCCTCTCAACGGAAATGATGTACTGGAGAAGATGTTCCGGGTTAACTTTGTTTGACCACATAAGAAATGAAAACATAAGAGAGAGAATGAAAGTAAAGAACACAATAATGGATACGATAGCCGAAAAACAATTAAAATGGTATGGACACCTGAGACGGATGAACGAAGAAAGGATACCACGAAAGGTTTGGAACTGGAGACCTACACAGAGAAATAAAAGGGGAAGGCCAAGAAAGAAATGGATATCCAATATTCATATAGAAATGGAAAATAGAGGTCTTCAAGAAGGAGACTGGGCCGATAAGAAATTATGGCGATTGGGATGCGAGAAGCGACAAAATTAAAGTTGCAAACACTCGCTATATATATATATATATATATATATATATATATATATATATATATATATTATATATATATATATATATATATTTTATAACAAAAATCGACCTGTTTCGGGATTTCCCTCAAAACTCAATGGTTCTCGAAATAATGATAATATTCCATAATTTAGCTGTTCACTGCATATCTAGCAAATACTATAGATCAGCCATCAAACATAGGAAAACGGATTATGGCGTAGGCGCTATAATTTTGAGTTTTACCGCCTTTATAATGTATCTAGGATTAGTAGGTCCATCAAAATAAAGAGACTATGGTGGCTAGGCCACTTAGAGAGAATGAACGAGATGCAGCTGTCGAAAGACATTTATAAGCAAAGGCCGGATGGGGTGAAAAGAAGAGGCATACCCAGGAGGACAACGTGCGAGTGTTATTGAGTACGAAATTGGCAAACCAAGGCGGATAGAACGAATGGAAGCTGATCATAGAACAGAACAAGACTAGCTATGGGTTGTAGAGCCAATGATGATGATGAATGCATTAACTTTATAAGCAGTCATTCTTTACTTGTATGTGCTTATTACTCCATCCGTAAATATCTCCCACAATATTCATATAATCCGAGTATGGTGTATGGTATGGTGTGAGCCAGGACCATGATTATCTAGGGATATTATCTGGTCCAACTGCTTTATGTTTCTTTATTTTTTGCATACTGCTATTAATCATCTGATATAAAGTGCATCTATGTCTGCTAATAACCATAAATGTAGAATGTTTTGTCCACTTTAGAAGTGTTTTGGATATATAATTTAATTGTATAACTCTCTACCTCTTTCAATACGAAATAAAGTAATTTTTCAAAAATATGACAAAAATGTTTCATCAACACTATATAATCAAAAAAAGAATTTTTAATTCTGTTACCTATTTGTATTTAACAGAAATAATAAACAATTGTTTATTAAATTTTGATGAACTTACATTTGCTACGACTTTGACATCTTTCCGATCGGCTTCCAGTTGTGTTTCTGCTTGCTTTAATATGCTGATTAGATTTTCTCTTTGTTTAACTTCTGACCTTAACGCCTGCATATAATCATTGATGTGTGCTATATACACTTCGAGTTCTTTTTCTACATCATCCACATTAGCACGATCTAAAATTAAAAATTAATAAAACGTTATACTCATATAGGAGAATATTAGGATTTACAAAATTCATAAATATAAAATGAAATGTTTTTCGAAACAACCGCCCTAACTCTGCAAAAGTCCTACAGATCGTTGTCATATCTAGCATGATCTACATAGCGCGAATTACATCCATAATATATTATTAAAGATTTTATATTATACACATATTAGTAAAAGTTTAAATATCTAGGATGCTGGATACATGAGACCTTAGGCTCAGAAGAAGTCAAATGCACAGTCTATTCCATGAATATATGACACTCTTTAATCTAAATAACGCTAACCATATTGGATACAAGACGAGGCAGTCCAAGTCTTTCCAAGACGAGGCAGTCTTGAAAACATGGCAACAAGCATTGGATACTGCCACTGTTGACATTTGCGAAAAAAGTGTAAAAAATGAAGACTTAATTGAGGAGTGGTGGATTCGTGAAAGTTGCATCGAAGCAGTTAATCCTGTTATTTACCATCCGAATGAGGATAGCCACAATATGATGGTTGATAGTAGTTTTAGGAGATTAGGAGAATAAGAAAGTTCGTAATATTGTTTTGTTTTTGTATTATTAATTGAATATTCTACTAAATGAATGTACCCAATTTCATCACTTACAACAGTATTTTAAAAATTGGGAGAATTTAATATTTACAATTCAGAGCATTGGATCATTTAAATCAATACTTTCATACCAAATTCAAAACAGTTGTATATTCATGGAATAGACTGTAGAATAGAACAGTCAAGAAACACATTTCTAAAAATAAAACAATTTTTTAGCAACCGAGATCTTGATCTAAGTATATTATATCCCATAATAAAATGCTATATACACAATATTTGGATTTTTTTTGAGCTTTGGATATTCAGCCACATTCTAAAAAAATTTCATGGACTGACCATGTTGGAAATGAAGAAGTTTTAAGTTTTAAGAAGTTTTAACTGACCATATATTCAACTAATAATGAATAGAAAAATAGAAGAAAAGCGTGGTCCTGGCAGACGACAAATAATCTGACTGTGTAACACCAATGATTATAACTTGCTTCCTTATATTTTTATCTTATCCAACTGGGTTATTTCACAGAAGTCAATCAAACATTTCTATGTTCATGGCGCAGTTTTCTGCCTTGCGATCAAGACTTCGTAAAGATTGAAAGGGTGAAGAAAACGGCAATGGTACTGATACCTTGAGATTGGAAAGACGTCATAGCGGAAGCATGTGTAAATACCCATTTTCAATCTTTTTCATGGAACAAAGCAATATAGACGAGGTGGAGAAAATTATGAATAAAACAATCACCAAAATTACAGACACGATGTGGACAAAACTTGTAAGTGATGATCCAATGATGGCAAGTTTCCGGAAATCACACAACATAATGAGCCCATGGGAACCACATCCAATTTTTTATTATCTTATGAATTATATTTTTTCATTGATCAGTTTGTATCTAATTTTCTTTCTGTGCTTTTGTTTGCACCTCTTTTCCTTTATGTTTATCATTTCATAATATGTGATCCAGGGTTTTTCATTATAGTTTGCTTCTTCCTTCTTGTTTTGTATTGTATTGACTAGTCTGTACCATATTTCTAAATATTTTATTGTCTCTTTTAAGTTGTTCGCCTATGGTACATTTGCTCATAGTTTGGTATCAACATATTCCTGGTATTACTTTTTTCTGTCAGCATCCACGATATTATATCTCTAGTTTATTTTATCTTGCAATTTTATTTTTTGCATCTTTTGAGGTATATCTTAACTGTTACCGAATTGTAACTGATTATTTCTTGACCACATCTTTTGTTAGTCATATTATCTATTTGTTTCTTAATTGAATGTCCTTTGGTGTCTTGGAAGGGATTTCTGTGTAAACCTTCTTTTGGCAGCATGAACCAGGTGTTAGTAGATAAGTTGCTCCATGTTTTTTTCCAGTTTGTGTTCCAGTTTTCTATAATGAAATTGGATTTATGAAGAGTCTCAGCTTTTTTAGTCAATTTGATCCTCTACATGTTCTAAAAATTTCTCTAGTTCATCATTTGAATTGTCTCAACTTAGGACAAAAGTCTGTATTACTTTTATATCTGCTGGGGACCCATTTAGTTAAAGAATAATTACTTGTTTATTAATTGTCTTACATTTTACTTATTGTACCATTTTAAAAGTATTCCAATGCCATATTTGGTGTTGCCCTCTCTTCCTGAATAGTAGAAAGACTTTCCTTTATCCTTTGATTAACCTTAGATATAAGCATGGATAATAATGTTGAATAATAGCAGTTGTATTATATAATAGAAGGACCAATGTGATAGAAACTGAATGGATATTATAATTTAACATTACATTCTGATATTGATAAAGAATATACTTCTTAATAACCTGAATAATATACCACTTTTATCCTTTACTATAAAAGACAAAACTTTTTTCATGGTCTAACATAATTTTTCTATAAATATCATTATAGATTGTTGATACAGAATATATTTAAAAATTAAATCAAAAAATATATATTAATTAAAAAAATTAAATAATTACTAACCCTTAAGAGATGCCAAAAGACCATCATCTAGTTGTATTTTAGGATTATGTTCTTTCAATATTTTCAATTTAGTGTCTGTATCTTTTTCCAGCTTTGCACATGTTTTAATCCTACCTATCACATAACTTGGCTGAAACAATCGAAAAAATTATTATTGTGATCACTACAATAAAAAATAAAAGAAGCTAAACACTAATGAAAAAATTCTAAATAAGATAAATAAGATCAAATATCTTCTGCATATATAAATATAGCAGTGCACTTGTATGCACGATATTGGTATATATCTGTAGTTTCTATTATTATCAGTGAGATATCAAGGTGGGAATTTTAAATATATGTTGTATTTGTTTTGTATACCTACTATTTTGAAATGTTCATGCTTTCTTGCAACTATTGTTGCCACTGTACCACTATTATATGTGGTACAGTGTGTAGTATTAGTGGTATCTGTGTGTTTACATGATTATTTTAGTGTTGCAACAAAAATGTACCAAACTATACAGGGTGGTCCTTAAGTAATTGTACAAAAGGAAACTGCAGATTCTACACTTTAAAATATTATGATTAAGGCCAAATTGCTTTAATAAAAAGTTGATATTAAGAAAGATACAGGGTGTTAAAGTGAAAATTTAAAATTTAATTTTTCGCTACAACTTTCATGTTTGTGAAAATTGATATATAAAAATTTTGAACTGGATACTATTAATATCAGCAATTATAATTTGATGCATACTTTGATGTAGCTGATAGAGGGCGCCACATATGCCACATATGTGACATACATTTGCACTTAACTTTTTTGCTCTTCAAGTTACCGCCATTTGTGATAAAAAATATTAAAGATATAATAATTTAACAAAAGAAAGATATACTTGTTAATAACTTTAAAACTAAACACTTTTCGAGATAATCTCATTTTACAAATCAACTGCATAATTCTGAATTACCGTAATTACTCCAGGCAATGAAAGAAAAATCGATAAAAACATTAATACTTTTAAATTTTTTAATAAAGTTAATAGTTAACGAAATATTAAATAAAATAAATATATCAACAGGATAATTAATAATAGGATTTGACAAAATAACAGAATAATATGATTTTACATCAAACATTTTACATTTTATAATAAATTAAAGTCATAATCAAAACATTTTATTTACAAACCAAATTAAAAAATAGTTAAACTAAATAACATTACTTTTTATCAAAGTAAGTGTTCAATATGTCCACCATTTTCTTTAGTTCATTTGTCAATACGCTCCATAAAATATCGTCTCATATTAAATAGCATCATTGGTTCTAAAGAAACTGCTGCAGTATTTATTTATAAGTATCATAATAAGTATTATTTTATGATTTTTATGAATTAAATAATTATATTATCTCACCACAAGATCAAAGAATACCATAAGACCACGAACAATAAAATAAATAATTCGAACAATAAATAAATCGAACAATGTAAATAAATCTCACCATTCAAATTAACAAGATAATTCGCATGTCTGTAAGAAATATTTACCATTTATAAATATTTACCAATGGTTCCAAATCATACGATTATTTAAAATTCATGTTTAAAATGCATGTTATGGTAAAGAAAATGGTAGACATATCGAACACTTACTTGTGCCAAAAAGTTTAATGTTATTTAGTTTAACTATTTCTTAATTTGGTTTGTAAATAAAATGTTTTGATTATGATTTTAATTTAATATAAAATGTTTTGATGTAAAATCCAAATATTTAGTTATTTTGTCAAATTCTATTATTAATTATCCTGTTGATATATTTATTTTATTTAATATTTCGTTAACTAATGACTTTATTAAAGGTATTTTATACCCAAATTCAGAAGTATTGATGTTTTTCTCTAATTTTCTTTCGTTGCCTGGAGTAATTGCGTTAAATCAGAAGTATGCAGTTGATTTGTAAAATGCGTTTGTCTTGAAAACTGTTGAGTTTTGAAGTTATTAACAAGTATACCTTTTTTTTGTTAAAATAGTGTATCTTTATTATTTTTAACAAAAATACTGATAACTTGAACAGCAAAAAAGTTAAGTGCAAATGTATGCCACATATGTGGCACCCTCTATCAGCTACATCAAAGTATGCATCAAATTATAATTCCTGATATTTAATAGTACCCAGTTGTAAGTTTTTATACATAAATGTTCACAAACATGAAAGTTATAGCGAAAAATTAAATTTTAAATTTCCTCTTTAACACCCTGTATCTTTAATATCAACATTTTATTAAAGCAATTTGGCTTAAATCATAATAATTTAAAGTGTAGAATCTACAGTCTCTTTTTGTACAATTACTTAAGGACCACCCTATATAGTAGAATCTCATTAATCCGGCACCCTTTGCCCTTCGCCTCCCACTGTTTTACCTGACTTAATTCAACCATCATGAAAAATGTTATGGCCCAAAATAAATGCTGTATCACAAGAATTAACACAAAAATGTGATTCTGAAGATAATCCTAATTATTGCCGATTGATTTCATAATTTATCAGAAAGAGGATTCAAGGCAAGTGAAGAAGACTTAAGTTCTTGGCTTAAAGGGACAGAGGAAAATTATGATGAGAGATCTTGTAAAGCAGTACAAGAAGAAGAATGCCTAGTAAAAATATAGGCACTAATACTACAACTGTAAAACTATAATCAGATATGGCATTCAATTGTTTCAATACCTTCACTGCAGCTAAAAAAATAGCAAATCTATTAAAGTTATTGTACTTTTTCTAAAAATGCAAGAAAAGATTTTTAAACACCAACTATAAGTTGCACAAAATAATGTAATTAGTTAAAAGTGAGATATTTTACAGTCATAAAAAATGTGTAGAACATGAACACAAATACATATATGTTGTTATTATGAAATGCTTTAATTTATTTATTATGAATTTTTATACACAATGTGTATAAACCGTGAGATTCTATTGTAATTTCTTTTTAATATATGTCTTTCAAAGGTCTATTCAAATGTGAATGAATGGACCTTAGTAACTAATTTATCTGCAATGAATAATACTGAGTCTCCTAAATACATGGATACAATCTACAATGTATTTTGATGCAAGATATATTGTAAATGTAAAAGGTAGGTATGCATAATAATTATCAAAAAAAAAACATTTGGAATTGTTAGAACTGAACTTTTGCCTTGTTAAGCCACTTTAATACAATTTAAAATTCATAAATTAAACATATTTTTTATACAATAGTAACAGTATTTTCTATTATTACTATTATATATTTACTATTATATATTTATATTTTCTATTAATACATAAGAAAACTACCAAAGCCTATTGACACTGCAGCCTTCTTATCTGTATTGTTTTAGTGTGATCTTAGTTTTGTAATGGCATAACAAATGCAAGGGATGAAAACCATAACTTATATAAGATGACTTTAAATAGCAAGTTGGACTGCCAGAATTTACATTATACAGGATAAAAAGGGAAAGGGAAAAAGAAGTAAGAGACCCAATGTTCAACCATATGTGCCTATGAATAATATGACAAAATATATTATTTGCAATCCATAATTGTCCATTATCCCATTTGGATTTGGATCCCATTCACCAACAATCGTGAAACCTAATAATAAATAATAATTGATCACTCACCTGAAATTCATGTGGTTCATCATTTTTTGGAGCACTGGGTACAACATTTATAAGTCCACATAAATCAGATATAAATTCATTATTATATACACCTCTTTGCTCCCAAATTTTGAATATCCTAAGTATTTTGTGTTTAACTTTGTCGTCCCTTAAAAATAAATGTGCTACTTAATTATTTAGAACAAAAGTAATGAAGAAATCTATTCATTTCATATGTTATTTTTCAGGTAATAATTTTAAATAATTCTAAAAGAACCTCTTCACTGATTTATCCCAATTAAGGATCATTAATGATGCAACTACCCTTTTACTAGGAACATCACTAATTAATTAATATTTTTCATACTATCTGGCATATATGAAAAATGTGCTATAAGATTATTGATACATAAAAATACATGTTTGTGTTAATTACTTCAAAATGTTATTTGCTTAACATTAGGAAAGAATTTAAGAAAACTGCTTAACCATCTATGTTATCTTTTCAACAATAGAGAAATCAGGAATTAGTTGACTAAATATGAATATACACAATTTTTGTTTCAAATATACTGTTATTGTAATATGTCAATTACCATTACTTATTTAAGTGTTAGGTAAATTTCCTTTTGAAATGAACATTAACATTAAATGTTATATAAATTTTATAAAATGCATGTTATTTTCTTACCTAACCATAGTTGTAGCCTTTTGCAAGGCAATTCCCCAACTTTCAACAAATGCATAGTTTTTCCTTTTAGAGTACTGAATAACATCGTTTGCCAAATAAAACAAATTAAGCCTTTGTTCAACTTTAACCCTTTTCAAGACATTTAGCCAAGCATTAACTATTTTCTTGTGGTAATTTTTATATTGTAGACACCATTGGCAACAGTTGTTAATAGCCTCTTGAGAATCTTTTAATGTGGTAAGTTGTTTTTCAAACTGCAAGATATCAAAATCACCTTCTGATATAGTTTGGGTCCCCATCAGAAAAATGTAAATATTACTGGTAGGTCTTTCCAAACATTCTATACAGCGATACTATTTTACATATTAATTATGTATCATATACTTTTATTTCCTTCTAAAAATGATATTCTATATTATACTTCTTAAAAATCCACGTTTATAAAGAGTTTATTATACAGATGCCGATATTTAACTGAAGACCTAAAATCTAAAACACACAAACTTTTCTTGACTGAACACTATTGTATTAACAAAGTTTTCATCAAAGGGTACTAACAATGGCAATATATGTACACAATTTGTTTTAAAAAATGTTCAATGCGTGTGTCAATATATTAAAATAAGCATTTCTGTCAAAATACAAGCAACCATTTATAAACTTATTGTGGTTATTAGATGTCGTAACTGTCTGTCAAATGTCACTTATCAATTAAGACACATTTGACATATTGAACTAAAATTAAATAGGTGTTTTGTGATATTTACTTTTGTATGTTTTTTTATAAGTTTATTATAATAATATTGTAATTTATTTTAATGTGGTTTAATACTCCAGTCGTCAGAGACGAAAATGTCATTGAATCTCTAAAAATCATTCGAATTAGCTGAATTTTGCCGAGAATGTTAATTTTGAGGTGCCCAAGAAAAAGCAAAAAGTTTACCACTTTTACCAGTTTTAGGAGGAAACACATAACACAGACATATGATTTGTGAAGTTATGTAATTGTTTATATTCAATGACGTATAATATTCATTGTTTATTTGCACACCACATAAACAGCACTGGTTCCCTCTAAAACATGGCGGAATGTCTGCGCGAAGGAGATGCGCGTACTTAATTTTCCATCGTGAGTGGGCATTCTGGTTGTTTATTATTCTATGCTTTTACCCCGGGCTTTCCCGTAAAACCCGCTCGTAACGGGGGAAAACAGGAAAAAATCGATTTCTCAAGAGTCTGGAAAATAGAGATAGACACTCTGATCAAAAGATATTTTACCGTCGAGTTGATACAAATTTTATTTGAGATTGACTTCGCGCGTGTAACTTACATTTAAAATCCCCGGCCACTTTAAGCCTTGTTGTGAGATAACAGTTCATTACACATATAATAAAAAGTGCTAATAAACATTTTTGTTCAAAATTATCCCAACTAATTTCTTATATCCCAATATTTGTTTACGGTGTATAGATTCCTCGTAAATCAATATTTTGCGTTTTTTACCCCTCACAAGAGAGGTTTGTAGGGGGAATACCGGGGGTAAAAATAATCAAATTTTTTGCATCTTTTTGGAGTCGCAAATTTGAGATTCTCGGCAATATTCAGCTTGTTCGTATGATTTTTAGGGGTTTGTATATTATATGAATATTATAAAGATGTTACAATAGATGTTAATAGGACTTTTTGATCAGCCGCCATATTTTTCGAACAGACAGATTTGACAATGACGTCTAATATTTGCTATACATATGTACTGGTTTATAAATTTATAAAGAAATATTTATTAAATAAATATTTTTTATTTAATAAATAATTACATATTCCATAACAACCGAGTAAAAAATAAAGAACTATCCGTATCCTAGCATTAAGTCAATTGATACGTATAGTGTATTTTTATCTACGACTAACAGTAATTTATTGTTTAAAAGTTAGTATTGTAGTTTTTTTAAATATGTATGGAGTTACTTACTATATGTTTATGTTTATCTATAACCAACAAGTAATTTATTGTTTAAAAGTTGGTATTGTACTTTTTTGATGCGTGTAATGAGTTGCATACTATATTTGTATCTACGACGTAATTTTATTTCAAATAAACACCTCTAAATAAAAAAATCCGCCGCCTATGAAACTAATACTTCGGGCATTTCCGAAGCAATCTGAACTGTAATTTGCAACTTGTACCATGATTTGCAACTGTCTTCCCTTCCCTCTTACCAGAATGTAGAATCTCCTTGTTTGAACACAGCCGGATGTTCCTCACTTTCTTTTTGTTGGCGACTTAAAAATAGATATGTCTACTCAACCTCAAGACCAACATAATTGCTTACTTGTAAAGTATAATACCCTCCATACTCTAGATTACTTGAATGAAAAGGATCTGTGCCATCTCAGAAAAGAGAGGTAAAACTAAAAAAGGATTTATTAAAATATATAGATATACCTGAATGATCTGTATTATGCTAAAGATAACTTTGATATCTCATAAAAAACAAAATTAAAATTTAAGGGGGAAGACTTAATTAAACAGAAATAAAATTAAATCTCAGTAAAACAAAAGCTGTGATAAGTATAGATGAACTCAGCCAAGAATACCTAGATCAACAATAGAGCATTATCTGCTCCAATACAGAGGGTTTTCAATTTACAATTCAGGATCAGATAGTATCAAAAATAAACTACCTCACTAATATCGTCAAAGAACCTGCAAAGTGCAAAATGACAAATTTTTACCCTTGTTAAACGTTTCTAATTTCTCATCGGTTTAATTAGAAGTTTCATCGATTTTACAAGACGTTTCTCTGTTTATTTTTATGTTGGCTCGTCTCCATTCCCGATTACATCGTTTTGGATCTTTTTAATTATTCACTAGAATCTTCGTCAAACTATTCGAGCAACTGCTGCACTATAAAATGTTTTAGCACCATCGTTAATATCTCACTGGCAGATTTTTAAAATAAGTCATAAATAGTCTGCACCAAAAACAGGATATCTTTTTTTTTAAGACAAGGTTTTTTACCTAGGCTAAAGTTCTAATCTGAGCCAAGAACCATACTCTTTTATCCGGGCTTGGGACTGGCAACAAGATCATTGAAATAATAAATCTACTCAATTATCATGTAGGCGGAGTTAAAAAACTTGCCTTACGTAGATGTAAAACTATTTAGATGTAAAACTATTTAGATGTAAAACTATTTAGATGTAAGCCAAAATTAAAATTTGCAACAAAAATTCAATAATTATGTTTTCAGAAAATCAAGTAAACAATCAACAAAGGGATAATATAAACCTGTCAATATGTGTTTAATTTATTAAGTAAACAATGTAATTTGTATTACTTGAAAGATATCATTTATCTACTAAAACAGACATCCCGTTATAGTTTTTCAAGACGCAGCCGTATTAACATTATAAAGAACTACGACATAAAATATCTAGTTAAATTGCCACCAGAAAAGATATAGAGTAAAAGCATAACTGAAAAATTAACAAACAAAAAAGAAATTCACATATTTAGAAGACTTCGTAACTTTCTGAAATTGCTAAAATTTTTGGAAGATTTTATTTTTCTCGGAAATGAAAGGCACTACACAAAGAGCTGACATAATTAATATTCCAGAAGAAAGATTCAGTTTTCTAGTCTTAGGTTTCTACCGAAACATTTAGGCGTCGAATATCGCTGTGGAACGAGCGCCAGCGACTGGGTTATCACTAAAGGTTTTTTCTATAATACCATTTAACAGCTGTCTCTGAGTATCTATGAGGGCAGATTTTTAATTTGATAACAAAGACAAATTGAACATTGTTTTATTTAATTAGGTATGTAGTAGCTCTTAAACCACTTCAATAAAATCACCAAGAACCTCAACATAATAATTTCCAATAATTTATGGTTGGTTGCCATGAAGACCAGGATACCAGGAACTAGATATCGTAAAACACATTAAGATAGGACGTCTGAGGTGGGACGGCCATGTAATGAGAATGGAGCAAACCGACCCAGCTAGAAAAACGCTCCTTAATAGACCTACTGGTCAAAGACGAAGAGGAAGACCCAGAACAAGATTCCTAAATAACATAGACCAAGATATGAGAAATATGGAAATACGTGCTTCGCGGAGGAAGGCGATGGATAGGGACGACTGAAAAAAAAATCTTGGGAAGCTAGGACCCACACAGGGTTGTAAAGCCAAAATGATATGATGCCATGGAGACAGCGGTATCTCGAATTTCGAGACATATTTATACTGGACGGAGGTTTTAATTAGAAGAGGGCTGTTTTTTTAGTATCACGGTTTATTCGTGAGAAATTATCTTTGTTTTTAATGTTATTTAGTCATTCCGTCTCCCTTTCCAAAAATACATCTATACGTCCCATATGGGTTTACATAATAGTTTTTTATTTTTCGATATAGATATTTTGTTGTCCGGTCCCTTCACTTTCGTTGTAATACCAAACACCCTCTGTAATTCCTTTTTGGCAGGATATCATTGTTATTTTTGCCACGTCGTTACATTTATCCTTCACCCTCTTCTATTTCATGTTATATATGTTTTAGCGAATAACGACTCTATCGACTTTTTAGTATGGCGCAATTTTTGTATCTTCTATATCGTTTTATTAATCGTATTCTTCTCCCTTTTGATATTTTATACACCTTTGTCTAATTATTTATATTGAAAAACCATTCTAACGTTTTTGGAATGATTATATCTTTGTTTTTCTGCATCCTTCATCCTCTCCCGATGTCATAAACTTTTCTTTGATCAATAATACCGAAAAATCTGTCTCGACGCTTTTGTACCAGGAAGTAATCTTTGCTTTTCATAAGATTTGGTAATTATTGGCTGCTTTTGAGTATAATTAAAAATGTTTCTTTTTTCAGTTTATATGCTTGCATTGACTTTCGGTATGTGTATGGATTACTTATTTTGTATTGTCTCGCTTATTGTCGTTTCTATTTTACTTCTACTATTGGTATTTATGATATAGCATTTAAATTCCTCCTAATATTCTATTAACTTTTCGATTTTTAATTTATATCGGAGATGCCTGCCCCTGGTAACCGATAGTTCTTTATTTTCTTTAAAGCAGCTTTAACAGTTAGTTTATTCCAGCTATTAATAAACTAAAGCATGGTAGAAATTTTTGTTGTATATTTTCTGGAATGACAAACTGTTCTGAAACAGTTCATTTAGTAGTTGCAAAGTCATTACAAACTTTGAAACTCTGGAAATTATTAAAACTAATTAAACTACCTATTGTCAAGAATTTCTGATGTTGTGATGGGTAAAAGTACATCAGATTCCTGATTTCAGTATTTGAAATTGTCTTGTGGTCTTTGGCTGGTATAGAAGTCTTGACAATAGCAAGTGTGATCTTTCTGCAATGTCCTCAATCAAAATAATGGTTTTTGTGAAAAAATTATTTAACCCACAGTCAAAGAAAGCTCACACACACACATACATATGATTGGTCATAAATTACACCATCTTTTATTACTTATTTATTTCATTAGAGCAATAGCTTTTGCTAAAAGCCACTAATTTTTGCAAATTTTTGATAGACAGAAAACAATTAGTTCTTCACCACCAGAGTAGGTGGCACCTCTGTGCTCGAACCAAAGTGGTAAGATTTTGGAGACATTAGATTTTTTTGTAGTCTCAGCAATTGGTCTGTGGGAAATAAAACTCTATTTGTTATTTCGTCAAGATTTTGTGACTTCTTCAGGAGAAAACTGTATATTTATTATATGTAAACAAAATGAATACTCCAATACTTACAACTATAAGATTAAAAATTTAAATTTGTAATTTTAATATATATATATATATATATATAATATATAATATATATATATGGGATAAGTTAAATAAAAGTCTGACTGTATTTTATAATTTTATTTACTTATATATACTGAAGACTTATAACTGCATTATGATCAACTGGAGCAATTTTTATTAACAAAAAAACATTCAAGGTTACATCGTAAGCTCCATTATAGCATTCACTATGTCATTTTGATTATTCTTGAGCGCCTTAACTGCTTTAGATCGACTAACATTTGCCTGAGACATGACCAACTCTACATCTTTTTCCTCTACTCCAGATTCGTCAACCTAAAAATAAAATTATAATTTATAAATATTATGAAAGATGTATACAGTGTAGTCTACAAATTATATTTAAAAAAATCCACATACCTCTTCATCTTCTGATTCTTCAGCTATTGGTGCCACAGATGTGGTTGTTGTACCAGCTGCATTATCTCCAGCAGGACTGACTTCTTTGAATTTCTCAGCTGCAGCCACCTGAGCTTGTTGTGAAAGATCTTCAATTTTTGCTTCACCAAATACAATGTAGGTGTCACTTACAGGGTTTTTGTATACATCTGGTTTGTTTATGACAAAAAGAATATTTTTTGACTTCCTAATTGTTACCCTGTTTACTCCTTGTACCTAAACAACAATAATGACATAATATATATACTGGTGTAAAAACAATTTACAGAAAATACCATTTTGCCAGTAAAACCAATTTGTTGCAAGTAATTATTTCACGCTGACTTCCCATTAATAAGAAAACATCCAAGTCTTTTGTTGAAAGTATTGCATACTACATGGAATATTAAATTGTCATTTTAAGTGTCACCAAATACACTTTGTAATTTTTTAAGGATAAAATTTGATAAGAACTCAGAAATTTTTAAATTTTTTACAAAATTTTATTTTGCAAAGTATACAAGCAAACCTTACTTGTAACCATAAAATGGGTTTTATGCAAAAATGGTAGTGATTAAATTACATGAACGATAATATGAAACAATCAAAATATTTTAGTTGTATCCAATTCTTAGTAAGCAAAACATGATCAAATTCATATATGCTTGTGGAAAAGTTGGATTTTACTGTATGTCCCTTTTGACACCCAAGTTCATATTGTATAATAAATTCAGGTAACACAGGGACCACAGAGAGATACACACTATTATTTTTAAAATACAGTTTTATAACAATGAGTTTAGAAAATACAATTTATGGCAACTAGTCTAGTATATATGTATTAACAAATGTAACAAAGAACTCTTACTAAACAAAATAGGGACAGATTTAGTAAACATCAACTAAATAAATGAGAAACTAAAGCTTATTCATTTACAACAAAAGATCTTAGTTTTACTATATTCCAAATATGTATTGAAATCGCTTTTACAGACATTATAGTGAAATCCTTAAGACAACCAATCAATACGATTGTTAAGGTGGGCCATATTAACAGGCTTCATTGAACTGTAAATGGGACATTCAAATAGTAAATGTTCAACTGTTTTGTGTTACAAATAGTACAAATTTGAGATGGTTGAATATAATATGATATACCATTATAGATAAATTTTAACACAGCAATTAGATGTTTTAAGTTGTGCCACAGTACAAATTTATTTTATAGGAATTTGAATTTCTAGATATTGCTGTACCATGGTATCTACGGATGAATGTTTGTAAATAAGTGAGAATGTTGATAGGAAAAATGCTTGCATGTCTTCTTGATGAATATACATATATCCATATTTTTTGAACATATTTTTCTTATTTTTTAACAATCAATTAGAAATGTTAGCCTCCCAAGAGAATTCATAAGCTAACATTTGAAAATAATGCTTAATTTGTGTGACTCAGTTGTATATGTTCCAATTTACTGAACTAAATTTTATATCCAATGTTTTTTAATGGCATAGACTAGATGTCAATCAGCCAGTCACAATGTGACAACTAATAGATCAACCAAAAGTTTGATGACCAAAAGTCCATAAAATAGCAATAACAAAGAGTTATTTATATAATAACTACAAATAAATATTCATTCAAATAGATGAAACATGCCTTAAATGAATCTTCTCAACTTTCTCAAGCTTGTGTTCAGCTATGCAGTACCCACAGTAATACTTACAGGTTTAAGACCCAATTTGGACATATATTTTTCTTGCTTTTTTCTCTCCTCTAGACTGTTTGGCCTTGGAAACCATATCCATGGGCAAACCAGCAGCGGCAGCTCCAGGGAATGTAGCTGAAGCTGCGCTTGCAGTTCCAGCATCTTCCAATTCAGGGATGTCTTCATCTGAGTCACTGTCTTTGAGGATTCACTTTGTTCAGGTTTTATCTCTGAAACCACGGTTTTTGTCTACTTCAGTCATTTCTGGCATTCTTTATAACTACGAATTAAAAGTAATATTAATACACTTCATGCAAAAGAACATTGAATGTTTGATATATAAAAAAGTGTCAGCCTGCCAAGAGTTAATTCATAAAATGTCATTAGAAGTTGCGAAACCTTGGAACGATATCATCATCATATACGGTAACAAACAATAGTTTGTTTAAAAATGTTAATATTGGGTAAAATAGATGCATCTGCAAAACCTACTTTGACAAATAAAACGCTATATTAAATAAAGATGTCTTAGATAACGCAAAATACCTTTTTCGGCTTTTGTTATTGCAGATCAAACCGCTTTTCGTTGACAGGAAGGAGGAAAGATTAAAGGGAGGGGAGCAAGAGCAATCGAGAAGGAAGGCAACGATCAGAACTATTGTCGATTCAAGGTCCGCACATAAAATTTTTCAGATTTTCATATACATAAATTCATTATAAGAAATATATTATAAATTGATTAAAATATATATGGGAAAAAAATACTATCGTAATTTTAGATAACATATATGTAGTTTTTCATTATGATAGTGGAAGGTTCTTGGTCAAAATTTGGAGAGAAAAAAAAAAAAAGAAAGGATACTTGCTACTTCATCCTTTACTGAAGACGTCTGAGTTCATCATCAGTGCATCTAAAGCTACTTAAATGAGCATACAACCTCAGAACAAATTAACAATTGCTTTCTTATTCAGTGATACAACTATAGCGAAAATTACAAAACTGACTTGGTTCTATTTTTTTCTCATAAAGAACTAATGCCTGGTTGCACCATACATATCTTAAGCTTAAGAAGTGCCTTAGATAGGCCTCAGCTCAGACTGATCGACAGACCACGACCAACCGTCCGACGGCGATCAACTAAATTTTGTATTTTTATGTTTAAGAATATAAAGAATATTTTAGAATCGAAAATTATGGTGCAACGTAAGTGAGAGTTAAGGCAGCCCTAGCTATAAGCAGAGCTGGGCTAAGCTGGAGCTTAAGATCTATTGGTGCAACCAGGCATAAACCATTTAATTTTTATGGTTCATTAAACTTTTGCTCACTGTTACATTTTTGAGCTACATATCTTTTTATGGTAAATCTTTTGCGATTTTCTCAATGGATGTACGCCCATTTAACTAATTTTTAAATCGACTGAATTGAATGAGATAAAATTGAAAAATTGACTGCTCATACAAGAAACAAATAAACAAATAATATATAATTGATAAAGGATTTCTACTGAAATTTCTCATGAAATGATTGATTAATCGACTTTAAATCGAATTAAAACTTTTATCCAGCAACAGAAGTAATTAAATATAGTTGGTAGAACTGATATATTCTCTATCAAATGTCAAGTTTGGTGGTTTTGGTTTTGCGCATGTTTTGCGGTTTTGCTTTTTTAGTTGTTGTTTTGACGTTTGAGGTGTATTTTGTATGCTATGAAATGAGCTCTTTAAAAAGGAGACGTAACTGTAGCTTTCATAGTTTTAAAGGAATTTTGTTTGTAAACTTGTGGGTTAATGTTTTTTAGTATCATGTATTTATACAAAGGTAAGTCGTATTTCACGATATTATATATTATATTTATTAAAGTAGACACATACACCTTTAACACTTTACCCCTTTGCCGCTAGAAACTAGTAACAATTCAATTATACCAAAATACGGAAATATAATACAAAATATAATTATACCAAAATACGGAAATATAATATTTTATATACATATTAAAAATAATGTAGAGATTAAGGTTTAGTAAAATAAAATTAGAGTTAACAAGTTTAAATACAGGGTTTTAATTCTTGATGAATCTCTACAGTTGCAACTAAGTGGTTATATACCTACATATTGATATAACACAATCTTCAAATTTTTTAACAATTATGCTCATTTTATTTTACAAAACTATTGATAAAGGCTAGAAATTATTTAAATTTTAAGTTGTATCATTAATTGACTTCAAATATACTTATTATTCAATCGGTGACAATTTAAATGGAATTATTAGCTGTATGAATATACCCAGAAATCTATTTCAATATCACTATATCCACCACCCAGAGTAAACTTACTTTATTACTTTTTCTGTTTCAAATTAGATTCTGCAGACTCTTCGACCAATCGAACTTGGAGTCAATTCTACTCGATTCCAGTACTTTAAATGCCACCAGGCTATCCGATATAGTGTTTATAGATTTGTCCCTGCAGTTCTTTATTAGTTCCTGGAGATACATCTTTATAGCATTAAATTTCCGCTTGGAAGATAGCAGATCCATTTAAGATTTCATCAAGTTTAACATTGGTTTAAAGCCCCCTTTGTAGCAGCACTAATCTACCAATATGAGATTCATTTTATTCAACTCCCATTCGTTCCCTTCTTAGAAAGACGATGGTAAAC